GGGCGGGGGGTAGGGGTGGGGTGGGGTGGGGTGGAAAATGGGAGAAGGATGCCTTTGTTTAGAAGAGGTGATTGTTGACTTAATGGCATTTCTCATCTGAGAACATTTACGTCCTCAAAGCAAGACGATGAGAATTTTTTCAAAGTTTTATTTAAAAAAACTACGAAAACTTTAGACAGAACAATTTAAAAACTGTTGTGATAGAAATTGATTTTCACAAACAAATTTTGGAGAGGAAAAAATCACCTCTCTTTGGTTTTTCGCTCTTAGCTATCAAATTCTCCAACGTTATTTATGAGTAATTAATGTCGTTTGATAGTTGATGATACAACGACCCAACCTCAGAGCAGACGGTGAAAACTTAAAGTCGACTTGCTTGACGCTTTTCTTTCATCAGGACTTGAAGGCCTGCGAGGATGCAATAAAGCCATTATTAAAAGTTTACGTTCAAGTGCCTTCAGTTCACCAGTGTCCATTTTGGTCTAAAAGATTTAAGCCACCAATAGACATCTCAGTGAAACATCAGAATCAAAACAACCTACGGATTTGGTTAACGACGATGATGATATATTGAAATCCCTGATTGAATCAGTTTCTCACTTAACTCTGGAACTTAACTAGTATTGCAGATAATCACATATCAACGGTGAAGTGTGTAAGTGCACTTTGATGGTGTCGATGCGATGAACATGAAGGCAATTTGGGTGACACTTCAAATTAGTCCTCCCAATGAGAGAGAGGAAACAGTGAAGGAATTTTCCCATTAACATGAAAGTTGCAACTGGAGTCGAGGAGTGGATCGTTGATGGACAGAGTTGGTGGTTAAAAACCATGCTTGTCTCCAAATCAAACACCTACTCCATCAACCAAGCCAAACCAGTGTTCGCTCTTCTGAAACATCACACAGTTGTTTTGGGGTGTGCGGAACAGCCCTTCATGAAATGCAAAGAACTGTGGCGAACGCATTGCAGCCGAAATTTACTGTCAACGGGGTTAGGAAGGCTAAATAAAAAATTACAAATGGGACGAACGAGTGTGTTTGCAAGATTTAAGTTAATTTTATAACACTGCTTGTTACAAAAATTTGATCGTAAAATTCCCTGAGTGATGGGAATTTTAAATTTTGGTGTAAATTATGTTTTATGACATTTTACATATGATTTAAAAATAAATAAGGTGTAAATAACGTTTTTGGACTTCTAGATTTACTATTGCCACTCCTATTGTAATGCTAAATAGCATACAAATTTGATCGGTTTACGCATCAATCGGCATTTGCATCTCGTTCGAACCCATTTGTCCGTTATTGCAAGTTTCAAAATTTTCAGTTCAAACATTTATGCTCAAATATTTTTTTTCTATTTAACAAATGTCGCGATTCCTTGTTGAAATTTCCCACCAGCAAAGAGTTTTTAATCGAAATTAAAATTTGTATCCATAATCAATTATGCACTTGAAACTCAAACATTTTGAGTTAAAATAAGTTTATGAAGCAGGTTAATTTATTAATTATGAATTCGAAATGCGATTTGAGAAAATTCTGCAAAAGTTAAAATTTATTTTTCCACAAACTTGCTGGTTAGGTTCATATTTGGCACCAAAGCGCCTCATTTCAAAATCCTGTGTGCGTGCCCGAGTGACTAACTTTGTGCAGAGAATATGACTTACATGGTACTCATCCTCATTTTTTTGCTGATAAGAGGGTGAGCCAAAAGCCTCCCATACAAATGCTGTAACTATAACTAGAACAAATACTTGCAAGGTTTTGTAAATTCCAGCATGATTTTAGAGCTTCGTCAATACCATGCAACCGTGCGTTCATTCTATGTAGGGTCAGGATCAAGGCAGGTTGCAGCTCAAAATAGCTTGCATTTTTCAACACTTCAAATAGCCAATTTCGATATTAGAGCTGAACATAGAATTTTTATTGGACTAAATTGGAAACCTGCACACATCGCAGAAGCCTCACGACAGGCTGATGGAAACTCGGCGCCAAGTGGAACAGACGCTTACGATTGGATTAACCACTTTGAACAGAGAAGAGTTCAACTTGATGACTATCCACCACAGCAAGAAATCAAGAAAAAATCACTCTTGTGAAGAAGGCGTTTGGAAGACATTGAAGACATCCCTCGAAATTATATCATGAAATGCCTCTACACATACTTCTATTGCTGCCAGAGAGTTGTTTGCGTAAATTTCGACTAGAAGCACACTTCCATACCCTTCTCATGGTGCAGATCAAGTGCCCTCATAATTTTTGCTCTCAAAACTGAAAGAATGGCTTTATTGCACCCGATTTACGTCTTAAGTTGAAGCGAAAAAGCGTACAATTTCATGGTAACTGATGCAACCCCACAGATTTGGTCCTGAGAGAAGTTACAGGAGGAAGTATTTTGTTCCAAAGTGCATAGACATCGATGGAGCCTATATTAGATAAATTAATGTAGTCGCTTGTTAAATAATCAAATCATGGAATTTGTCTGTGAACTTTTGACTCACTCTTGAGTAATGTTTCTAATGAGCAATAGGTATTTGTGGTCATAGACAATAATTAAAGAAGTTATTTTGTTGTTTTTTCTTCTTAAATGTGCTTTTGCCTTCTATTTGACATAGATGCTTTATTTATTATGGACAAAGAATAAAAAAATGAATTCAAATATTAAGAGATTTCATGTAATATTAAATAAACCACTAATTATGATACAGGCAAAGGTTGCAGGGTGTCCAGTGTTTATAGAAGCGTAAGTGGGGATAGAGAAGGATGGCAAATCAGACAAAAGAGGAACTAACTATGCCCTTCTTTCCCAGATCCTTTCGCCATCCTTTCGCCGTTGCTGTCGATGTCATCTTGGACGTCGAGTTGTTGACGAGTTCAAAACTACTTGGTGCCGCTTCAGCGTCATCCGCAAATGGATCAGTTTCATTGCTATTTGTTTTTTCAGTTGGCTTACGATGCGAGGTGCTTGAGGAGGAGGAGGCGGTGACATTGGAGAGCGTTTGGTAGGCATTTCGACTTTCCCCCGATCGACCTCCGGCGAGAAAGACGCCAGTTTCAGCATCGGCTGCAGCATCTGCATCCACCAGCATGCAGTCATCCTGGTAGTACTGGCCTCCTTGCATGTAGGCACAAGGCTGTAGAATTATTCCTGCCACACCACCACCACCACCACCACCGCCACTGGCACTCAGTTTATTGTTGTCTGAAAGAGAAGACAAGAACAGTTGCAATATTCTCTACGCAGAAGTATTTCACTTCATAACCCTGACAACACCGGAATTTCGCGAGTCAAAACAAACGCGAGGCATTCAAAATGAACTAAGTTCGCACTTCTCCACTGTCGTTTTGTTTTCATATTTTCACACTTTTTTGCTCTTTATAGAATAATGAAGGCAGTATTTCCTATTTCTTACCTAAGATGTGTGCAAATATTTGAGATTTTCATATAACGAAATATAATTAGTTAAGATTCATATATTTTTTAAAAAATGAAAAGACACTTAATGAGCATGCTAAAACGAGCAAATGGATGACTTTATTCGGATTACAACACTTAAAACCAATCCCCACCAATCTATCGATTCCAAAATTGGCAGGTTGAAAGCGCTTCATTTGGTAGGATAGACAACAGAACTGCCAAAATTGGAATGACAAGTGCTTTAGTTGGTGGATTAACGCAGCTCGCAGGGAAATCTCCTAGGCACTTTGAAAGATGAATAATATTTACTTCTGTCATTCACATTTTGCTTCTACAGCGGTTGCAGTCCAACTTATTTATTCCCCACTGCAAAGGCAGCAGAGGCAAGTGAATGCTTCCCTTCTGGTAACGCTGGCTTTGCAAGGTGAGTGCACAATTTCTCAGTCAGCATCGAAATGAGTGCCGAGCGAACGCCTGAAATCAATGCGTGGCAAGCGCGCGAGGGAACCGCCTTAAAGATGCACTCCTCAGGGAATAACTTCTGTGACAGCCACTGAGGCGTAGTGAACACACTCAGGGAAGACATTCTATCATTTTTGTCTCTCGTAAAAGCAATTTGAAAATATGCCTTAGACTTATCTTGGTACTTTAAATAAGATTGATTTCATTTTTAAAGTTTGATATGGCATTTGGGTCATGATTTGATAGAAATTTAAAGTCTTAAAGTCATTTGAGTGTTTGTGAAATTCCCTCCATCAGGCTGCAAAAGAGACGAGAGAGAGAGAACTTACATCCGCTGGCATCACTCGGCGCCTCGTAATTGTTGAGTCCGCGGTCGTTGCGGCTGCCCCACGTGCCGCCAACTCGGTTCACCTGTCCCACCTGGCTGAGATACGGATTGGTCCTGTCGCCCACTGGCAGCGGAGGTCTCTCGTAGCCCTCCAGGCTGTCACCCAACGAATTCGATCGATTCTTAGCCTGGAATATTTACACACCGGTTATTGATGTGTGTTTGGTGAAATGTCATGATTGATAAGAATGCTAATTCAGGAAAATTCAATTTCAATTGCTTCATGAGCTTAGTCTCGAATAATTGCAACCTTATGAAAAAAACTGTTCCATTAATTCGAAAAAATAGGTTAATATAAACGTGACGACAAAACTAATCTAAAATCCATTCAAACGTTTAATAATTTATTGCAAGAAAAGCAACATTGTGCTTATGAATAATTTAAGGCAAAATAACTTGAAAATCATAATATCCCGCACAACAATAAAAGAAATGTATCTAAATGAAATTCCGGAAAATAATCTTAGCCAATTGAATAAGCTAGATGTGTGTGTGTGTGGAGGCGAATAGCCACCTGGAGTGTCTCACCTGGAGGGTGGCTTCGCCTCGAGCGAGGCGAATTTGCAACAAGTTATCGAAATTGGCTGCTCCATTTGAAGTGCCAGTGCTGGTTCCATTGGCGTAACCGAGTCGAAGGAGCTGCTCTTGCTGCTGCTGCTGCTGCTGCTGAATTGACCTTGAGCGTGGTCCGCCTACAAGCGGTGATCTCTGGGCTGACCAACCGTATACATATCGATTCATATCTTTGCCAGGTAGATTGATCTGCGGTTGGAGAGTTGCCGCTCTGTACTTCGTCTCTTTAGGGTGGACAAAATTAATAGGATTTGTGGCATTGGCGTTGTCAGGGGAGGAACGATATCGGAATTTGATTAGAATAGCACCAAAAACGACCAGAAGTAGACAACCCAGGAAAGCCAAACAGCAGATGAGAATAATCCGACGATCAAAAGATGGCGTTGTATCTTGCTGAGGGAAATTTTCAGGATTGGTATCCACACCATATGGCGGATAAGCGCCTTCATCACTTGGATTCCATAATTTTGGATACGTTGGGTTATTTACGTAATCAACACCCAATTTGCCCCCTCCGGGATTTCGTTGTGGGTTTCTGGTATCAATAACGACAGTGATAGACGTGACAGACGATCGTGATGGAACCCCATTATCTTTAGCCTTAAATTATAAATAATAAGTTAATAGCTTTGACTTTTTTGACGCTCGTACTACGCATCGGCAAATGGCTCACTTCTATTTCCAGGTAATGACTTCCAATGTCATCATCAAGAATTTCTCTAGCGAAAGAGAGTTCTCCAGTGCTTGGATTGAGAGAGAACAAGCCCTGAGAGGTGGCGTTTTTGAGGAGAAACAGGAGTCCCTGTTCTCCTGCCGCGTCCGCATCGAACACCGTCAATTTGACAATCGGAGTTCCCTGCAATAAAGAACGCAATTAGTAGGACAAGACTGTGGAAATGCGGTATTTTCTTCAATTTTATCTACCAAAAGAATCTAATTTATCTTGGTATTTTGTTCACTCGCTTCAGCAGCTGATACTTCCTGACAAAAAGAACTGGCCGTGAGAAATGAGTAATTTATTACCCGGGTAAAATGTCGGCGCAGGTATTCACGCGTGAAGTGGAGAAATCAATCTTCACTAGCAGTAATGAAGGAATGTCCACAACCACCCTAATGGTAATTAATGGATGCTTCAAAAGGCCCAAGCGAGTGCTAAAAGTCAACTCCTCTTGGAGGACAAAGTGAAGGTGAATTGAAATGCGGATATTTCATGTGTTGATAGATATCTCCCCTCCCCCTCCCCCGCCCAGATCGAAGAGGTTAAAATGTGCGCATGTAGGCATCCGAGGCATCTGCGCAAAAATTCTGGCCGATAGATGCAATCTTGCATATCCATTCTTTCCACTACTCTTAGTCTAACTCCTTCACGCAGAAATACACAGCACGGTTCTTTACAAAAAGGGAGTTGGAAACTCACGTGCAAAGTCGCATTCTACTCGCCTTCCTATAACAAAAAAGTGCAAACCCATGCAGGAGGAGGAGGAGGCGAAAAGAGTGATCGCAAATCGAGTCCCCAACGAAAGACATTCAAGATAAGAGAGCAAAATCTTGCCGCTTTTGAAAAGGCGCGTATTTTGTCCTCCCTGACATTTTAAAATGACAAATTCGAGTTTCATTGAGACTTTTTTGCACACAATGTCATCATTGGAGCTTTAATTTTTAACCCAACAAACAGGCACACCTTTGTTATTTAAATGAGGCGCAAAAATACGGAAAATTTTGGGCTTTTGGTGCTGCTTCGACAGAAAAAATGACGTCTGGGAGTGATAATTAGGGAAGTTCCTAATGATGTCGCTGTGAATTTAAAAGGGGAATTGGGGGAGGGGGTAGTTAAATGTCATCCTAATCAGATATTAGTCATTTCTCTTTCGATGCATCTGCGACATTGATTAGGCGCCACCCTTCCCATAAGTACACTACAGAAGCAAATGCTTAATTGAAATGGCTGATTAATTCAACTCAGACTTAGATCAACGAAAAGTCTCACATTAAGTAACTAAGTAAAATGTGAGTGATACTTTGATAATTTATGAAACACATGGTAATACTTTCACGAGAAAGTGATTATTTAAAAATTAGTAGTCAGTTGGATACAGGATTTTTCCTAGTTGACCTATTATTGGGCAGACGGGGTTGAGTGTCAGCGAAATGGCTTTAAATGAACTGAAATCCCCGACTTCAGACATCCTATTTACGACTGGCAAAACTCCTATTTAGGTGAATTGATTTGTCAGCAACATAAAAGTGGCAAACGGCAGCGTCTTGTTAAGCCTCCAAACCTCAAAGCACTAAAGTGGTTTGGGGGATAGGAGGGGGGAAGGGATTGTTCCCTGCACATTTGGGACTTGAATTCGTAATTGGTCTTCAACGGGAAAATAAATAACACAAAGTAATTTGCAGGCGTGAGTAAAAACTGAATAATTCATTGACATATAAGAAGGGGCGGTTTCTGACATTATCTGACTCTCCTGGTGACGTGTGAGAAGATTCGTGACTAACTTTAAGAACATCGGGAACAGAATACCAGGAATTATGTCAAAGATATTTCTCTCGAGACGATATCAAATCGGTTCTGAATTTCAACCGGCTTGAGAGGAAGTGGGTTTTGCCAAGCAAGGAAGGAGAACTTCGCGCCAATATTTCATTTGCAAATGTCATAGTGACAAACCCTGACACTTGAGTGTGAAGTTGAGAGTTTGACACATCTTCCCGACAACAACGTCAGGACTAAAGTTGTTGTGATATGACACACGCGCGATGGGGTGCAAGAGTCATTCGCTTCTTATAAGCAGTCAAATGGCCAGAAGGGAGGCTGTGTGTTAGCATTTAGAGTGATGACAGAAACGACAACTTGCAGACCACGAAATGACATTTCTTTCGAGAATAAAATGAAACTGATTGGTTTTTCTCTTGACATTTTGCTGGTACATGCTGACAAACAGTTGCTATAGGAGGTAAAGGCCCTACAAGCAGAAAGCTTCATTTTCCAAATTCTTATTCACTGCTATTTATGCCCACCCACCCACACACACAAACACACACACACATATACACACACACACACACTTGTTGCGCATTAATGCATTGACTTACAACTTTGCTGTAAGCTGAGGCGTGAATTGTGTGATTGGGTTGAGTTGGGTAGATGAACTTTGGATCATTGTCATTGATGTCTAGTAGTTCAACTACGACCTTAGCTGTTGAAGTGAGGCGTTTGGATGAGCTTGAGTCTTCCGCTGTGACGAAGAACTCATAAACAGCATTGACTTCTCGATCCAAGGACATCTTTGTGGTTATTTCACCTGTTTTGGGATTTACGGTAAATCCGCGCTGGACGGCAGCCTAAGAGGTCAATCCAACTTAGACAAAAATACATATTTATGCAGAATAATTTGCATCTGATTTGTCAATGATCACTTACAGCAGTTCCAAAAAGACGGTAGGAAATCTTCCCATCTTTGCCTTCATCCGCATCAGTAGCAGAGACGACTCCGACAACAGTGCCAGGTTCTTTTTCCTCCTCGATAACAAACCGATATCCTGAAGGGTTTCCAAAAACGGGAGCATTGTCATTTACATCAAGAACTTGAATTCTCATGGCGAGATCGCAGGTCAGGGGTGTTGGACTACCTCTGTCAGTAGCTCGAATTGTCAATTGATATTCCATGTTCATTTCGCGATCCAGTGGTTCTGCCAGCAGAAGTCTACCGGTGTGTCCTTCCAAGCGGAAGTGAGTACTGTTCATGGGACTCATAGGCTGGGAAGTCGACAGAGCCGTAACGCTGATGAGACTGTATGTCAGTGGATGGGGATCGTCTGGTCGATCTGGATCTGTGGCATTGAGGTTTACGACCAGACTTCCTACTTGTGCGTCCTCTGGAATTGTCACAGTCAGCGGATTTACTGGAAATTGAGGAGGATTGTCATTCACATCCAGCACAGTGACTGAAAAAGTCGTCTACATGAAAAGGAAGAATTAAGGGAATTATACCAAGTTGGATACAATTTGAAATTAGCATGCTCGAAAAAATTGAGTGCGCAATGGTGATTACTTTGCCCATTTGTTCTGAAGAAGTTGCTCTAATGAGATATTTTATTTGTATACTTGATTGAAATCAAAAGGATTTAAAATAACTTATTTCGGGAATACCAAAAGAGTACCTTGCTGATTCATAGACGCATCCTTGTATCATATTTGCAAATATAAGGGGCTTTTTAACTTGTGTATTCACCAGCTTCCAACCTTGTCAGTCCTCGTCTTTTCAGGCTCTCCAATACAAGTCTGAAATTCTACACCTTTCGGAGTTTGTTTAAATGGCGGGAAGGAACGCATTTCACACGGATCATCTTTCAGTCGATTAAAATAAATCAAGCTGGGGAAATCATTCAAGTTTCCACTGTAATAGAACTCGATTTCGCCAACCTTCCGTGTAATTTAACCAACAACTAAATAGACAACAGGTCTCGCACACTTGGCAGCGTCAGTTGCAAGTGGCATTAAATGCAGTCTGGTTTAAATTTCACCAACCCCTCTCTCCACGACTGTTTGCAAGATTGAAATGCTATCAAGTGGCAAGACGTACCACCTTAAGCCCTCTTGGCATGGCCGATTCGTCACCAAAAAATCTTGTTGAGCAATTACAAAGTGGTCGTTAGCAGAGGTTCAAATGGCGACCTGGATAGATGATCGGTGCCGTTGCGGCGAAGGTGCCACCTAAAATACTGGCGCCATTTTAGGAAAGTCATTGACATTCAGGTCCACTATTCAGGTATGTCTAGTGGTTAATCTCATATCTGGGCGGAGTGTCTTAGAGCAAGGCCACTGGCCAATGCGATAATGAGCCGATGGCTAACGACAGGACCTCTCTACTAGCCAACTTACAAAAACAATGAGACCTAGACTTATCGTGTAGAAATTGACGAAAAGCCAATGTATTAATTGACTTTGAGATGTCATATTGGGAGGTTTGCATCGTGCCAATTGCGTGTAAGAGGTGTCTAAAATGTGGGTGACTGAGGGGGAGGGGAGAGGGAGGGGAGGGGGAGGGGAGG